AGAAACATCAGCACAGTCACTTTGTTTTCCATGATTTCAAAAGCTAAACATCCACCCATCCACCCATCCATCCATCCATCCATCCATTTTCATGGGCTTATCTGGGGCCCGGTCGCGGGGCAGCAAGCCGAGCAAAGCATCCCAGACATCCCTCTCCCCAGCAACGCTTTCCAGCTCCTCCTGGGGGACCCCAAGGCGTTCCAGACGAGATATGTAATCCCTCCAGCGTGTTCTCGGTCTACCCCGGGGCCTCCTACCAGTGGGACGTGCCCGGGACACCTCCAGCAGGAGGTGCCCAGGAGTCATCCGAGTCAGATGCCTGAACCACCTCAACTGACTTCTTTCGACGCGAAGGAGCAGCGGCTCTACTCTGAGCTCCCTCCGGATGTCCAAGCTCCTCACCCTATCTCTAAGGCTGACCCCAGCCACCCCACGGAGGAAACTCATTTCCGCCGCTTGTATACGCGATCTCATTCTTTTGGGCACTACTTTCTGACTCAGCTCCCTCTTCACCACAACGGACCGGCGCAGCGCCCACATCACTGCAGAAGTAGCACCGACCCGCCGATCCATCTCACGCTTCATTCTACCCTCACTAGTGACCAAGACCCTAAGATACTCCCTCGCTTGATACAGTAACTCTCCCCCAACCCAGAGAGCGCAATCCACCGGTGTCCGACAGAGAACCATGGCCTCAGACTTGGAGGTGCTGACTCTCATCCCAACTGCTTCACATTCTGCTGCAAAACGCCCCAGTGGAGGCTGGAGGTCATGATGTGATGGAGCCAACAGAACCACATTGTCTGTGAAAAGCAGAGATGCAATTCTGGGAGTTAAACATTCCAGATTAATTTAATCAATGTACTGACAAAGTATGACCTATCTAGTTAGTTGTCAATTATTTTTGGTCAAAAGTGGCTCTGTTGATAGTTAGGGGTTGACTCTGTTTTACGGCCAGCTTTAGGTAGCCATTAGAGGAGCTGCAGTTTTTGGCACTGCAGCATTTACCTCATTGTTCAGCCCTGGAGGTTGTCGCTTGGTAGGAAAATCTGCATTATGAGATGGACCAGTTGGCACGCAGATAGGTGAGGTAGGGAGATAGTACACAGGGCAGCTGATAAAGACACGTCTAAGATCCTGTGGCACTTTAAAATCTATAAATGAGCTGGGAAACTAGCCTGTCAATATAATGTAGTCCAAGACCACCCTTAAATATGACCTCCATAATAAACATGTTTGAATGAACACTGCTGTTGTATTGGACTGCATTAGATTGTATAGATGTACCTAATAAAGTGGCCACTGAGTGTATTTTCACTGAGCTATGCATCACTGAAGGCACTGATGATGTTCCAACTGATTCACAAATCATTAACATTTCTTATCCTTGTTTCAGGAACAAAAGAAAAAGATCTATCATGGCTACTGTTGTCAGAAACACATATTGGTGATTCATGGGCAAAGGTGTAGCAAACAGTTTTCTTTTTAATTCATACTTAGATGTCTGAAATCACCCCTATATGTGTGCTATTTGTTTGTATGTGTGTATTGAATGCATTTACAAAGCAGCAGGGCTGTCTGAGGTGATTCTGTCCTGGAGTAGGCCTGATAGAGTTTTTTCTACCTACATACAATATAACAGTTCACCTGTTAATTGCTTTACAGTCACTAATTAGACCTCCCTATTAGTTCAGCCTCCAGGTATGAAGAATCTTGCTCTGCACTCAGTCCTGTGCACTGTGTTGTAGCTCTCACTGTAAATTCTTTAGGCATACGTCCCAACTACACCATCTGAGATATAAGACCAGTTGTAGTCGTTGACTGAAAGCTTGTAATGACATCGAACAGAATACACAGATGCTACTATTCTGAAGCTGTTTCTTAAAATTAACTGTGTTTCAGTATCTCCACTAGAGGGCAGCAGTGTTTATATAACAATTCCAACTCCAAGGTTTCTCAGTATAATTTGTATTCAGTGACACTCACTGGGATTGAACTGACCTCTTGTATAAATATAATAATTTAGTAAAAAAAAATTAACCACCTGGTGGCCTTTTAGTAAATATTTAGTATCCAGGGGTGATGTCATGGCCATATGAACATGTTTGGGGCCACATGGCAAAAAATTGCTGGTGGACCCCTATTGGTCCATCACACCCCCAATCTATCCATACACCTTATTGCCTCCAAGTTCCCATCAAGTACAGACTACATAGGAGTCCTTTTACACTGCCTCTTCAAGGCAAGGTTTACACCATTATGTGGCCTCGCCATTCTGTACTAAAGGTACAATTTTAATAATGTCTGTATAAAAGGGACAGCCAGCTAGATGGGATACTGGGCGGCACGGGTGTGATGTTTGACGATATGTTATGCGTGTGACCCACCATGGGAGATTTTAAAAGTAGCTGACAGCAGTTAGTGGCTCAGAGACTCAAAGTCCATAACACAGAGAGGTAAAACAGCAGCTCAAAATGTCTGCCAGTTGTGAAAACAATGAGGTCCTGGAGCTCCTTTCCCTCCGAGTGGAGAACGTACTATATGTCACACTAGAGGCTGATTCTGCTGTGTTATGTTACGCTTCTTTTTATTCCATGATGCCAGCATGCTGTCTAACATCACACACTGGAGCGCCATGACGCAACTGTTGTTAGGTTCAGTGTGAAAGTGCAAAGGCAGCATAAAGTAGGGACTTGACATCAGCCCTGCAGCATGATCTCTGCGTAAAAAGGGCTGCAGACTATGCATGATAGCTTCGTTGAATGTCAGGAACAGTAGGATTGTAAAATTTGTAATGCATTTGCAATTAATCAAATTATTAAAAATCTGAATCTGAGGCTCTTGGCCCTGGAACAGTCAGTCTCTTCATTGGTAAACCGGCCTTGTAATTTAAAAGAAGTTGCTCATAGTATCACATAACCCAACAGTGCTGCTCCTCTCAGCTCCTTTTAGTCTCTTGTTGCAAGTTGTTCTGGTTTGAAGTTTTGAAGTACACTCAACACTTAATCAACCTGTTTTCCAGCAGTAGCTGTTGTGAATAAGCTCTAATAAAACAACTGTACACCTGCTGACTTGCAGGTTTGCTTCATCTAAGCCTGAGGCTGATCACCAGCTGAGTGTGTAGTAGGAGGGAGAGACATTGCGTGTCCTTTTGTGAATTAAGTTGGGGATGTTGAGGCACAAATTATTAAGAGGCTGTTGTGTAAGGAGAAGGTGATTATTCCCCATTTGGATGTCTTATCTTTCCCGAAGGAGTGTCTATATGAAGGATACTGCTTCACCTCACACTCTATCATTTATCTAACAATCTTCTCCACCCAGATCATATCCATACCCATATCAAATATTACACATTGTGGATTTGCATTATCATCGAAGCAAATTTTATGCTATCCCATCAATTTTTCAGCTACTGCAGTTTTCTTTATAACCATATCAGAGCTACTGAACATAGCAAAGCAACGTTTTGTCGGACCATAAGAAAAGTGACTCTGGCTCTGAAAAGACTTTCACCCGTTGATGTGGTTTTCTCTGGGCTTAAATCAGAAAGGATCATCAAGGGGGAATTCCACAGAATTGCAGGTTTGTCAGTGTTAAGAAATTAATCTACGTGGATACATTATATAATGATTTATGAATACTTTTCATGTATTTAAAGATTCCGTGGTGTAATTGGCTGCATTTATGGGACTCACATCCCCATCATAGCTCCATCTGAGCATAAAGGTGATTATGTGAATTGGATGTAATTTCACAGCAATTCAGCAATTCAATTAACCTCAGCCTAATATTGACAGAATGAAGTAAAATATAAGTAAAATGTCTTCCAGCCTGCATAATATTTTTGTGTTTGATTTTGAGTGCGTTTGGGCCCCCATCAGATAAGAATAAGAATAAGAGGATATAGCAAATTATATTAAAATATATGAACATTGTTAATAAATAAAATGTTTCTATATATTTTCTGTACATCAGACATGTTTTAATGCATCACATTGCAAACATCACTTCACAGCTTCAGCTGTTAAAGCTTAATTGACAATGTATGTCTTATGTTGGTAATTTATTCATTTCAGACAGTCATATTTCATTTACCTTGACAGTTTATTTTCATTTGATGTATTATTTTTTTTTAATGGTAATTATTGTTTAAGTAAGAGATTTATTTCCTTAAAAAAGTTCAGTGGAATGCCAGCAGCAGAGATTTTACTCAATGTTCCCCAAATAAAACCGCAGTCAAGGTCAACCACAATCCCCAAACCCTGCTTCTGGTGCCCCCTTTTCTCCCTGCATGACACTCCACTGCAACTTTAAAGAAAAAATCACAATGCAGAGTCCTAGGGGAAGTGCAGAAGGAGTCTGGCGACGGGCGTACAGAGGCAGTGAGTTACATAAACCTCAATGCAGTACACTATGTACACCACATACTTACTGCATGGTGCACTAATTTCAGCAGGGTAGTATTGTCTCAAATCACACACTGCCGCTTTGCACTTACTGGAACTGACAATGGCTTTTTTTTAACTGCCTTTTTGTCTTTGTTGTCTTCTTTTTAAACAGCAAATTGCAAACATTGTCTCCAACATTTGACCTTTCAGCTTCTATTCAACAACAGTATTGATACCAAGTGCAAAAAATATGTAAAACCTCCATCTGTTACGCAGTGGTGTTCACTGTAGCAAGCTCAGGTTCTTTGTTGTCCCCAGTCACCATGCTACTATTTGCTATGTTGCCCCCAAGTGGCCAAAAAAACCCCATTCCATTCACACAGCTAATAATGTGCAACTAATGGTAAAAAATTGTGATGAAAAAAAGTAATCACTATTACAAACTAATTACTAACTAAAACTAGTTATCTGCCCTCCACTGTCCCTAAATCACCAATACTGCTAAGTACTGATGTGAGTTTGTGTTCAGCAGACTGCAGGCAACCCTTTAGAGATTGTTCAGTGAAAAAGAATTTATTCCCTGGTTCACTGCAGTCAGCTGATTCAGGATATTCAGCGGGGCGGAAGGACACGGCTTCCCTCTCACTCACAAAGGAGGCAAAGAAGAACAACTTTGTCTCTGAGGGGCAAATAATCATCATCTTCAGCACAGATTATACATCACATTTTTTTTTTTTTTTTAAGCATTATTAAGCAGGAATGATTAAAACCACATTAACCATGGTGACCCAAACCAGAAACTGGCATAATTGGATTTCAAACAACAGCAGTCATTGGAAATTTTAAGTTGGATACTCCATCACCAGGGAATCCAGGATTTTGTACAACTGAATACCTAATCACTGTGGAAACAGTACTGAAGAGCGTGTAGCATCAGATTGTTGGAGGCAGGGTCCACCATGCTGTACTTCCAGGTGGTGATTTTGGCAGCTACAGTGATGCTGGTTTACTACTGTGAGTTTACTGACACCTTCAGTCCAGCCCAACAGGGCTTTATCTGCAGAGACCCTGCTTTAACTAAACCAGACCCTGGACCTGAACAGGACAGCCGTGTACAGCCAGTGATACTGTACTCTGTGGTGGGTGGACTGCCTGTTGTGCTGGTAAGTCTAACTATGATTTAAATACAGTTAGCAAAGGTTTCTTTTCTTTGTTGTGATGATGATGATGATGCTACTGTCAAGAGATCTAGAGAGAGACAGAGAGGCCGACAGTCATACATATCTAAGAGGCAAAATGCCTTATCTTTAAAAAAAAACAAAACATTTTTTTTGTATCTCAAGTTTTGACATTCACATTCCTTCTTGTTCTCTTTCATTAAAGATAAACAGATATACTACCACTAATTTTCCTGATGTATGTGTTGACTGTGCTCGAATAAGATGGGTTACATCTCCCAGCAGCATTCATAGATTGCTTGATGCCCCTTTAAACTATACTTTAAAAGTTCATGCATGAATTATTATGACCTCAGTCAAGATTTTCTTTTCTTAAGTGTTTTTATTCAAATATATTTTCACATGTCCACTTGGGTAGACAGCATGCATTTAAGTTTTAAACTAAAACAAAATATGAACCAATCAAAAAAATGATATATATCATGTGAAACTTTAAATATATTTTAATGCATTTAAACTAGTGTGTTCACATTTTTTTTTAACAAATTCTAATATTGTTCAATGCCACACAAAGGTGTTGAACTTTGCTCCTCCTGACTCCTAAGCTTCTCGCCTCTCTTTCTACTCCTCCCTTCTGTACTAACCCCCCATCCCCCCCTTTCAACTCATGCATTGTAGTTGAAATCAAGCCCGCGATGCATTAGGCCCAGTTTAGTGGACAGGTGATTAATTACCATTTCCTCACAACATATAATCAGTATTTGAAAAAAATGTAACAACTGTATTAATCCTTAGATGTTACTTGATTTTTTCCAAGTCTTATTTACCTGTGAGGGTCTCCTGTCATAGAAGGATTGGCAAGATATTCTTGGGGGGCACAACATTTCTTGCATTCTGTCAGCTATCTTGATTTTGAGAGATTTGTGTTGCACTGCCAACACCTGGCCAGTGGGTGGCAGTGTATGGTATAACACATAAGGGTCCACTGTAGAAACTTAAATGCAACTATAGCATCAAAACCCATGCATATACAAGAAAATGGCTTTTACACAGCTGTCCACTGTGGTGAACACTATACTTGAAAGGTTTAAAAGCCTAGTCCCAATGAAACATTCAGTTCCTTTTACTAGCCTGGTGTGGCTACACATTTTGACAATTTAAGGCCTGTCTCAATTAGTTACCTGGTCTGGTTGCTAAACACTTCATTTTATAATTCTTTGGATGTGTAAAACCAGGTTGTTGGCTACCCACTGGAATTAACGTCACATGTTGTTAGCTCGGTTTGATTCTCCACAATTCAATCGCTGAGCTCATTTTATTGAAACTATCAGCACCAGAGAAGACCGTAATTCATTCAGATTTACTAGCATGACAAAAGAAAAAAAGAGATGACTCCCTTCATCTGAAGCTGTCATAAAGTCAGAGTATGTGTCCATTCCTTAAAATATCTGGTAAGTTATTTATATTCCTTTAGTCCATAAGGGTCTATTGATGAAAAGAATATAATAAATATTCATCCAAGTTGTAAGTATTGTTTTAACAGGATAAAGTGGTGTTGGGTCAGTATGTCGGGGGCTGTAATTCTCGAGTGCCATAACACTCTCTCTCTCCCTCTCTCTGATGCCCTGACGGTCAGAGCTTAATAAATGATTATTAAATTAATGATTTGGAACTTATATATTATTTGAAACCTAATTTTTATACAAGTAATATTCATACTGGCTTAAATAAACAATTTGACCTTTTTTCCCATCTTTGCTGAGCAGCAGTTTTGTGTAAAAGGAATTAAATGCCTGTCCCATATAAATGCCTGTCCCAAATATATGCCTGTTGACTTCAGTGATTTAAGCAAATAATAGCCTGGACTACTAATTTGAGTTTAAGGTAATATGGTAGCCAATCTTGACAGGATACTAAAAAAGTGCCAATTAACAAGACAGTGTAAAGAGAGACAGAGGTGTGATGACACATTTGTAGACAACATAAGCTTACTTTACATGAAATGATCCCTTGTTGGAAAACTGGCCTGTTGCAGCTGGGACAACAAAAAGTAAATAGAATATAGTCCTTATAAATACACAGAGTGCTGCAGATGATGCAAAAGTGAAACAGTTGCAAATAGCAATGTCAGCACATGACGTTTTAGCATCTCTCAGCTCATTGTTTTGGTTTTAGAGTGTGTAACTTCAGGTGCTTCTAATGAAAAAGCTCTAAGAACCCACTGTACACTACCTGCTCAGCAGCAAACAACAGACAGACACAGTTTGAGACTGGATGGTGAACATAGTGGAGCAATTAGCAGCTAAAGAAACTGATATTTTTCTCAGGAGTTGGTGGAGACCAAAACAGAACTAAAAAGCAGAATGGTTTATGGTTGGTTTATGGTTCATGTGAGAGCGCACTACTACGTGATGTTTTTCTTTTGCTGGAGAGTGGTGGAAAGATGCTGGGGAGCATGCAAGCCCAGCACTTCATTAAACCAGCGCTCCCAGTGCCTTTTTTAAAATGATGCGCTGCATGTGGGTTTTGTTTCCATGACAACAATATGTGGACATTAGCTAGGTAGCACTAGCCAATAAAATGTAACACACAAAAGTCACCAGCTTTAGTGTCTTTGTTGTGATCATCACGGCTGTGATTGTCTTTGGCACTCAGCCTCGTGCATATGACTGAATCACAGCCGTGACGATATACGAGTATAACATCACTCCCTCTCGTGTGATATTGCTTAATTATCAATTTCACTGACATATATGCAACATATACTGCATTATTTAGCTAACTAAAATGCAGCTATAAAAAAATCTATGGAAAAGATGAGACTTAGAAAATATGAGAAACTCTTTAACCCAACTGAAATACTTAATGTGTGTTTTATGTTAAAGCACACAACAACTTGTGTCATGATAGAGCAGATAATAAATTCAGACTGTATTTATACAGTTGAAGCTGAAAACTCCATTAAAGATAAAAAAACACGCCTCAGATATCTCTCTGGCTGTACAGAAGAAAACAGTAACCTGAAAGCACACAACAACACATGGTATAAGTCATGATAAAACAGATAAATAGACTGTATTTATACAGTTTAAGTAGAATACTCACTGAAAGATGGAGGAAACACATCACATATCTGTCTGGCTGTACAGAAGGAAACAGTAACCTGAAAGCACACAACACATAGCGTAAATCAAGATTAGGGCTGAGCAATTTTGAATTTTTTTTTTTGACTGATATTGCGATTTGATGTGTGATTTAATTGTGTTAAGTTAAGCTTCACACCACAGACAATACAGTCATCTATTTTGACCACAAATCTGTTGCTGAAGCATAATACACACATTTTTCAACTAATTGTAACATTGTTATTTCTTTGGAATATTTTGTTATTCATTAAGAGCATCCAGAAAATCCATCTCTCTCCCCTCTCAAACTGTCTCTACAGCCTGCAGTCAGTGCAGGCGTGCTAACATTAGCTGCAGCAGCTGCTGTGCGGGACGCTGACAAACTGCACTCATCAGCTTTTATCAGAATCAGAATCAGAAATACTTTATTGATCCCCGAGGGGAAATTATTTATGTTACAGGTGCTCCTTGCAAGAGAGGAAAGATACGTGAAAATATAAGAAATTTAAACAATAGTATTAACAAATATATAGTTAAATAAACAGGAATTATTAACAAACATAAACGTAAATAAATATATATATACATATATATATTGTAAACTGAACAAGATTATTTACACAAACAGAATATATACAGTCAGGGTGAATGGGGTTATTGCACAAGTTAAATGAAATTATTGCAGTGTGTGAAAAAGT